TTCAAAAGTAAAGTTATACAAGATATACATATGCATCATAATAACAAAAGTTGAGACGAGTCTTCCACGCACTCCGTCTTCATCAAAAGAGATCACCGGTACCTGTCTAACTTGGACCTGAGAATACAAGCGGTTGGAATCAGCATAAAGCTGGTGAGTTCATAAGCGGTTTTGGTTTATGAAAATGTATCGGTTTCCTTTAGTTTCCGAAAAAGTTGTTATCCAAGAAAATCCATATATTTCTTATGTGAAATTGGTTAATTTGTATCATTTGTTTACCAATTCGGTTATGTATTGTATTTTACCCAGGAAAATCCCATATATTTTCCTAATTATAAGATCGGTTGTATATCACAAAGTATAGTTTAACACACAAAACTATATAATGAAAATCTTGGATTACTATCCCGAAAGACATATAAGATAGTTTGACACATCTGAAAGTGCAGGTTTAAGATCATGGGACTATCATCCCGGACTAAACACGAGATAAGTTGATGTATATATGTAAATGTAGATTGAAACCATGGGATCACTATCCCGAATAAGATACAGATTTGGAAAACCATGGGATCACTATCCCGTATAAGATATAGATACAAAACCTTGGGATCATTATCCGTATAAGATATAGATTTAGAAAACCATGGGATCACTATCCCGTATAAGATATAGTTAAAGACCATGGGAAAGACATCCCGTACAAGTTATAAGCATAAAACCATGGGATCACTATCCCGAAAGAGATCTAGAAACATATCATGGGATCACAATCCCGAAAGAGATATAAAATATAGATGCAAAACCATGGGATCACTATCCCGAACGAGATATAGTTTCTGAACCCAAACTGTGAATAAGCTGGTATTAATACATATTGTGAGTCGGGTAACCATACTAATACGACAACGTGACCTCCTTGACGTTTGTCAGACGTCGAACGATATCCAGAAATTTGTCACCCTAGGCGTGCCCGCCTAACTGTAGCTAGCAGTTAAGGTGTGGGATTGTCAGTCCCGAATAGATCTATTCACAAATTCCGCGCTCTCCCTCCAGGAGACTCTGGTTACACTTCCGGGGAGGATTTACTGATCATCCATAAAGGGTAGTGACTATCTCACAAACTAGTACTAAACTATTCACAGGGTTCTTGTAAGATATCGATATACAGAAGATTATGAAACATAGTACAGTAAAGTATAGATACATACATGAAATTATCTGACAATACATTAAAATGATACGGAGATAAACTGAATCAGACATAGTTTATCTAATAACTTGATATAGACATCAGTATACGATAGAAAGAATAGTAAAGACCCCCAAATTATTCCCATAATAATTTGATTAGTTTGATTGTTTCCTTAACTAAAATCCATTTAGTTGAAATCGAATAGTCATTCCTTATGCTCAGCATAATACATAAGGAGTAAAAGAGTTTATAGGTTTGTCAGATATTGTTTGAAACACATCAATGTTGTGATTGGAAAACAGTTATAGTTTGCTTGTATTCCCCCCCTGAAAACATTGAAAACAGTGAAAAAGCCGTAGGGGTATGAACTCACCGGACGAGATACGAGACGGTTTGGATGCTAAGAGTTGATCCGGAACTTGTAAACACACGAGGTTCCTAATTATCATGTAAAGATACACATTTGTATCTAATTAGGACTTAGATTGATTGTTGGATAGGGACAAATGCTTCAAGTCGCGATAACACTCCGATACAAGTGTTTGGAAGGACCCGGGTGGCGTTTAGGGACATGAATGACACAAGGGACTTGGGAAATGAGTTGGGACATCAAAGGAACACCCCCCTTTAGGGAGTTTACGGCCAAAACACCCATCCCCATGAGTTTACGGCCGTAAACTCATGATGGGTGGTTTATGGTGCAATTTGGACTTCCAACACTTAGGGGATAATTTCTAAACTTGGTTTAAGGACTTGGAATGATTACAAAACATCAAATAGACCCCCTTTATGGGAGTTTACGGCCTAGCATGGCTCCAAGGCCGTAAACCCCTATTTACCCAAGAAAATGATGTTAAATGGTGCTAGAACAAATCACATGTGATTGGTAGAATTTATCCAAGGCCTATCATGAGTTTGCAAGGGACTTTTGGGGTGTTTATGGAGTTTACGGCCCATGAGACCCCCTCATGGCCGTAAACTCTTCTATAGGGTGCTTCAAGGAGTTTCAAGGTCTAAAACTTGCATGAAAGGACTTCTAAAATTCATCTAAGGGCCTTAGGGGTGTTTAGTTTGCATTCTAACACCAAGAATTTTGGAGTTTACGGCCCAAGAACAAGTCTTGGCCGTAAACCCTTAGAAATCCCATGAATGATGTGTTTTAGGCCCTCAAAGTATTTTTGGTTGGTCCCTTGATTTATTCCAAGGCTTTTGGTGGTGTTGGATGGCTTTCTAACACCTTAGAATTGGATTTATGCCAAGTTTTGGGGAGTTTACGGCCCAAGCACTCTCCTTGGCCGTGAACTCATCTAAATCCCCCAAAATTCATGTTTCAAGTGTCCAAATGCTAGAATCAAGGTCCTATAATTCATATCTAGGCCATAGAAGTGATTTGGAAGGGTTTAAGGGCATGAAACCCTAATTATATGAGTTTACGGCCCAAGAATGATCCTTGGCCGTAAACTCCTTCAAACATCACAAAATTCAAGTTTTACATGTTTAGAGTCCATATCTTGAAGTACCATAGCCATATCTAAAGTCCAAACTAGTCAAGGAGGGGTTTAAGGGCTCAAAACCCATCATTTTTGGTGTTTACGGCCTAGGCATCTTCCTGGGCCGTAAACTCATACATTGTGTCCCATTTCATGATTAAGTGTCTAATTTGGAAGCTAAACATGCTATAGATTGAAGCTAGGAAGGTACCTTAAGGATTTGAAGCCTTAAAATTGAGTTTTGGACCCTTAATCTTTGGATTTTTGGAGAGAGGTTAGAGAGAGAGTAGTGAGAGAAGGAAAAGCTTCAACTGAAAGATGAAACACGTTTATATAGTTCCTAAAATTTGCACGCGGTGGAATTCTACCCGATACCGACGCTAAACGCGGCTTTTGGTCGCACCCGATTGAGTTTCCGTCACCCGACGGGAACATTATAAAAACTCATGAAATAAATGTTTTTGGGCTAATAACATAAGTTCCTGAGTGATTTAGACACTCATTAGAATAAAATAAACATATAAGTTTATACGATTAACTCCAAAGAGAAAACAGAACGAATCCGATAACGGCGACTTTCCGGGTAGAACGGATTTTGGTGACGAACAAATTTCGGGTTGTTACACAGGAGGATATTAGAAAAAACGCATATCATAAATAGGAACCAACTCCCAACAAAGCCCTAGGGATTGTGACTTGTCTGTTACGCGTACGGGTCTTGTGCTTTCAGTAGTACGGGGCCCTTACTAACTTCCATGTAACGACCCAATTTTCAAAAGAAAATTCACTTTTAAATTATCAAAACATTTCCAATTAAACATAAAATCTCAAGAATTTTTGTTTTCAAAATTCATACATCAACAAAATTTATTTCAAATATCAGAGTGTCCCATAAAAAATGCCTGTGAGAGTGCATGCCGTGCCATCAGACCTTGCCCCTACCCTTAGGCTCAGAAGTACCTGAAACAATAAACAAATTGTAAGCTAATTCTTAGTAAGTTCCTGAGAGCATACCCTACACAATCCACATAATCACATAATCATATTAGCTATAAGAGCTACATAAACCACATAAGCCATGCATACAAACATATATGGAAGCCCTAGAAAGCCTCCAGGGTCTTACTCCGGGTGCCATGGGAACCCCCACATGGTCTTCATAGTTTGTAAGGTAACTTGAAAATTTTTGAAGAAACAAAGGTCCTGTGAAAAGAGACAATGAAAGACAGCTATAAGGAGAAATCATCTGCTCATTTTTCTACAAAGTCAATTTTAGCTCTTGAAAGTGATGGTGACAAGTCTGATACTGTTGATCCAGAAGAAGAGTATCATTGCGACCTCTACTCAAGTGCTAAAATGATTGTGAAGCACTTTAAGAAGTCTGACAATAAGAAGTTTGGCGGACCAATGAAGTTTCAGACCAGGTATATCTCATCAGCATCTAAAAATATTGATTTTGGAAATCTTAAGAAAGATTAAGGTAAATTCTTCAATGATGGAGGCGTTGATCACTTTGCTCGTGATTGCAAAGTAAAGAAGAATAATGCAAAGGAAGAATATTATGAGACAAACTATAAGAGATTAGTGGCCTCTCTGAAGAAGCAAAATTTAGAGTCCAAAGTTCTTGTCGCTGAAGGTGAAGAATGGGTTGATGAAGAGGAGTCGTCTGATGAGGAAGTTAAAAAGGATGTTTGTTTGATGACTATCACTGGTTAGTTCATTAATGATGAAGCAAGTAACATCTCAAGTACTTTTGAAGTTGTTCTTTCTAAAGTTACTAGTGACTCTAAACTTTAGAATTGGGATTTCTCCTCGTTTTATCAGTTTAAAAATTTTGTAACTTATTCTGAAAATGAAAAAACTACAATGTTTGAGTATTTTCAACTTGATCTTTCAAAATCAAATCAAGAAATCTGAAAAACTAAGAAATAAATTTGAGTCACTAAAATGACTTTTCTATCAGCAAGAATTTTTTTTCACTGATGAGTTTGAAACTTGATGATATCTCACTTACAAATCATGAAGTCAACAGTGAGAAAGATTCTACCGTTTAACTTGCTCAAAAGTGTCAAAGTATTAAAAAAAAAGTGGGCTTTCTCTCATTTCAAAACATTCAGGATTGTAAAATGATCAAATTCCTCACTATTATGAAAAAATTATTAGAGGAAATCTTATAAAGTTGTTGATATTTTCAAAAATATTGAAACTGAATCAAATTTTCCTTCTAAATTTAAACTTATTCATGAATACAAAACCAAATTCATAAGTAGTGGCATTATAAGTCATCAAGACCTCATAGATAAACATTGTGTTACTAACCCTGATGGTCTTACCTCGTGTGTTACCCCTATAACTACTATCGATCTATCCCTCAAACCCCCTGATCGTGTGTATGAGTGTCCTAATATTGCTACAATTATTAAGTTTCCTATGTGAAATGGTAATATTTACACTGTTAATGATATTTTATGTGAATTCCCTGAATGCACTACTAGTGATTATGATACCCATGATTGCCCAGTGTCCTCTTACACTGATGATTCAAAATGTTCATCTTCTGGGTATCATACCACTGAAACAACATCTTGTAGCACTGCTCACTTTCATGTTTCTAGAACCAAAGAAATGTTTTTTAAGTAAAATGAACATGTTTCTACCCCCATGGAAACCAAAGTTTATTAAAAAACATAAATTATGTTATCAAAAGGAAAAGTGTTTTGGAATAATAAAGGGATATAGATGTGGGGACCCTTCTCATAAAAGTGAAGATTGTTCATTCGAGGAAAATATAAAAAGAGTTAACAACATTTTAATTCGAAAAAAATTGGATAAAGAAAGAAGTTCATTAAATTGTCTTCCTGCTAAGTGTTATAATATATTTAGTTCTGCTAAGTCTTCCATTGTTAACACCATCAAAAAATGGGTCAATAAAGTGCTCTAATTGTTTTTGAGTGGTGCATGGTCTAGAGCATATCTAGTATCTTGACACTAGATGCTCTCTGTAACACCTAGTTTCAAAATGCTTCTAATTTCTGGATAACGAGTCGGAATTTGATCGAGTAGAGGTCTTGAGGTTCAAGGGAATAATGTTTAGACCTTATTAGACATTAAATATTATAAGTTAAATGATTTAGCTCTTAAATTGTGGTTTTTGTGGTGGCCACGACGTGGCTATAGCCAGAGGAAACGCACATCATTCATGAGAACCATGACTTGACAAGAGCCTGGCCCAATGTAGTGGCTGCCAGAGTGTAAAAGCCTAATTTTATGGTTTTGGTCTTATTTAAGGCATGTGATGGTTAGCGTTTGCACACCCTCAACCTTCATCACCTCCCTTTCAACCTAGAAGCACACATAGTCACCATTGTTGAGTTTTTGAAGTTTTGTGGTGATTTTTGGTGAAAAGAAGAAGAATAAGGCGTCCATTGAATGAAGATCCAGTAGGCAAGCCCCTCCTCTACCTTCTAACTCATCTGCTGGACCCTTTGTGAATCTTTAAGTTCCAACCTTTAAGTTTTATGCTTCTAGATCTAGGTTTCTTTACATTGTTCTTCAAGATTGGTATATTTTGAGTGTTTGGACTCCATAAAGTTAGAGAATTTATGGATCCTTAAGGTCCCCTTGTGGATATATGTTCCATATTTGAAGTTTAAGAGAGTTTTATTGTTAGGCATGGGGTTTTGGGTCTTATTGTTGGGTTATGAGCATTCTAACACTCCTAAGTGTACATGCAACCCTAAATACCTTGGATCTATGTTTTCTCTATTATACATGCAAATATGAACATCCAAGGTATTATCCTAATCTAGCATACAATATTATCAATATAACAAGATAGAATACATACCTCTTTGATAGTGCTTGTCTTCATGAAGCTTGAGTGCTTAGTGCCCCAAGTGTGACACCTCAAATGGTTCACACAACACCAAATACACTTGGAATAACTTGAGAGAAACTAGAACACTTCATGAAATCGGTTAGCCCTCTCTAGAATAATCTAGTGTCCGATTTTGGGAAGAATAATATCTTTATATAGTGTTACAATTAGGGTAAACCCTAATTGTCATGACTTTCCATTTCCTTGGATCCATGGGTTCAAATACACCATGGAGCATCCATGGAGCATCATATGGGTTTTGGCCCAACTAGATAATCCATGGAGCATTAGCCCACTATATAAGTATGGATGATTTACACAATCAACCCATATATTTAATTAGTCTTCTTTTGATCACTTAATTAATCCTAGATTAATTCTTGATCAATACTAATTAAATAATCTTATTATTCTTATTATTAATATACTAGAACTTATAATATATTAATAACCATAAGTGTCTTATTTCTCTCATTATAGTCTATCCAAGTGCATGATGCCATGCAACCCAAATGGACCATGCCGGGTCGGGTCAAGTCTTACCAATTATAGTTATGGACTTAGACATTAATCCAACAGTCTCCCACTTGGATAAGTCTAAAACTATTATTGCGTATGACTTCAGGAACCAACTGGCAATCGTAGCTCTCAAAAGCTTCTGTCGAACTCTGACCTTGTAGATGAACTCTGATCTTTGTCAATGACTTGTCCATTAGATAAGGGATCATATATTCCTCCATTCTAGATATCATATGGACTGAGACATGGATTATAATCATTCTCTCTGTCCATTGTTGTTTCCCGATTTCCGATTTATGACGACTGACTAATTGAACAAATCAAATCAGTCCTGGCCCGGCCGAGCACTTCCATTTGTCATCATCAAATCATCGAGGGGCCCACAGATATCGCTTTTATCCCGAAGGTAAAAGGAATGGATAAACTTCGACTCATATGGCTTGTTCTACTACTTGTTGAATCATACACAAAGGCACGTTTTATAGCACCGAGTTACCAAATGCGTTTCGTGCAATCAATGTACAACCAACTCATAGTAACAACTCATATCTCTAGGTTTGAAGAATATAAGATATTATCGTCTCATGATCACTCGTGATAAAATCCATGAAGTGATTCCAATGAGCGCGGGTTGAATCCAATACTCAGAACTTATGAGCACTCATGAGTGTTGTAGCCCTTTGTCCAACAACTTAGACCTCTACAAGCCAACCCATGACAGTCTTAATTCATATCTACTTCCAACATATGACCGACTGTGGATGGTTTGAATAACTTAGTCATTCCGGAAGAATAACCTAGTTTATTCGGGAAGTCAAAACATGCAAAGTGAAACACAATAATAATTGAATCCAATATGGTCTCAGAACTTATGAATATAAATAAAACACCTTTTATTTATCACCATATGATTACACATTATTCATTGTATATTGTTTCAGCTATCAACATTATTCTTGAATTTAAAACAATAGTTGTCCCATGCTCCAAGCATGTACACTATGTTTTCTAAACACTAGTCATGCCATACACCAAGTATGCATACTATGTTTGTCTATGATCTTTACTTTGTGAACTAGATCAATTGAACATAACTTCAATGATTCTCTTTTCACACTCCCAAATCCTTACTGCAAATGCAAGAATTCCAAATTCATGTCATTTACTGAAATCTGTTAGATTCTAAACTTATATGCATTGATCCTCTTGTAATGATTATGCACAAAGTCAGAAAGACTTGCAACAATCATTACAGAGTATTCCAAAGGAGATCAATCCTTGGAAACATCCTTCTTGCATTAAGTTTCCTTAATCTTACACAGATTGAAAATTCTAACTTTGAAACATTTCCAGATTCCATTTTGACTATCACTTCTGAACAAGAGTTGCCTCCTTACAGATTATGTCAATATGGTCCTTCCAGAATTATCACTATACTTCCAATTGTCCTTGAGAAACCAATCTTTGGTAAACCTTAGATTGTCCTCGACAATTGTTTAATCCTTTTAGTCATATCCAGTTCTAAACCTTTTCCCTTCTTAATGCCCTAGGCATTTGGAAAATTTTAGAAAGGATGAATATAGCACATGTAATCGATCCTATATCCGAAGCATATGGGACACGATTCATGATGTCTCACATAAAGACTAAACCAGTCTTTTGCTATAACATTTCCATTTCTATTTGCCAAGTTCTCATAATTCAGATTATGAAAAGGGATGCCGTAATCATAATCGAATTTAAGAACGCAAATAATGGACCCATATACAGAATTTCCTTATGTTGAGCCATTCCAACATGAAATTCATATATATCCTTGACTAAATGATTAAAACCTCACGATCTAAGCTTATAGATTTGAGATGAAGTATAATTTCCTCTCCCTTAATTATAGCAAAACAACTTTTCCCAATTGAAACCTTTTGTTTTCTATAATTAACATTGCTAGCTTGCAATACTTATCGTAATTATCATGCTCCCACTAACATGATGATTATTAGCATAACACTTATGCTCCCACTAGCTTTGACATGTACTCAGAAATCAGCTGGACTTCTAGAAATCAATACTTTATTGACTTTCTTACCAAAGTTCAGATTTCTGATACTAGATTGTTTTGATAAGACTTTATCAAAAACATACACCTTCCCTTAGATAGCTCATGGGTGTGTCAAAACAATTTTAAGAACTATGAAAAGGGATGCCGTAATCATAGTCTTGATCGTTTTGACCTTTGCCATTTCTCACAAGTCCAAGTTAGTGTGCCGGTAAACCACACACGCTCCACTAACGACTTTGAGAATGCAAATATCACAATTGC